TTGTATAAGAATATCTATCTGGTCCAGTTGGTTCAGTATCCAGTGTCATGGACACTACATGGGCTGTTATCTCATGGAGTGTACCTAATTATATTCCATTAGACTATTCCCATTATCACATATGAGATTGGATATCATAATTTCTTGTTTGACAGGCTTTGTTGTTCAATGGGGTCAATGACAATGAAATATTGGGATATTCAAATGCTACAGCTCTATAATTCAACCAATGGCAGTACAATTTATTAAAATTACTGGTCTTAATGATAAGTCTTGCTATATTTTCGGTGTACGTGCATACACAAATAGAGGACCAGGAAATTGGAAAGTTATTGCTAATGAGACATTGATCAGTACTCAATTTGTGACTTTAACACTAGTAACTACTCAAGAAGTATGCATAGGATCAACTAATACAGGTATATTAAAATTATTTAAAAGTTTATATTTTTGAATAATACGTATAGTTGCAGGAGCTGTTGATGGTATTAGTATTGGACTGTTTTCAGTTGTTGGATTATTATTAATATCACTAGCTATTAGTATTATTATTCATATCTCCTGCTTAATCAAGTATGATACATTAATCAAAACTATTATAGTTAAATGTCATTTATGTACAGGCTCAAGTCCTATAGGGTCACTGTTAACCAAGCAAATAAGTAACTCTTTAAGAAGCACTAATAGACTTGTATGGTATTACTGTTCTTTTATTATAGATTTAATGTTGATGATATACCAATGCAATTGTGTGAACCATATAGTATACTCAAGAGCACAGAGGCAGTATATGAAGAGCCAGATGTCAATGAAAATGTTGATGATTATGTAACATAGGAGCCTAACATTTCCAGAATATAGTTAATGCGATACAACTGTGATTACATTAGACCTTACTTTATTTTTTCATAATGATTACTTTTTAAAATAGTGTTGCTTAGATATTATGATACATATAAGTGTACCCATGCACTCACTCAGACATACTCACACCCATGCAGAAGCACAGTGTGGTCTATTCTCTTGTTGAGTGTCATTGAAACTATATATATCAGTTGTCCATATTCCTCAGATAAGACAATAACAAACTGTTTAAGTTTTTCTAGGTATTATACCTCATGGCTCATGCACAAAAAACTGCTATCCTGCATATATACAACATGATAATATCTGTACAAGGAATGAAAACAACTTCTGTATGTAATTAAAAAATTACTAGACAAAGTATAGTGGGAGTGATTGTGTTTACTAAAGTATCAATTGTTCCTTTCCTTACTGGGTTCAGAATTCATAAGAAAGA